GTTTTATAAATGTTTCTAAATTCAAATTAGTCTCTTTGGAAGTTTTCATATTTTTAATGTTTCCGATACATATATGTAATATAACAGTAAAAAGTAATAACAACAACAGCAGTGTGTACATTCAATATTCTTCACGATCGCGAATTCTTTTGATCCTTCCCGGAAATATTATTTGAAAATTTATTGTTTATAGCACTTCGCAGTCGTGGTATCCATACATTATTATAATATCTATATATTACGGTTAAAATGCGTTCCGGAGGTATATACACATACACATGTACAAACATTTGTGTGGAAACACAATCGAAATGTTCATTAGCCGTAAGAGTAATCATAAATCATAACGTAATCAATTGTTCTACGAGCGTTATAATTGTTTCGAAGTTTGATTGATGAATTCGTGTGATATTGAACTCCTCGCAACATACGGCGGTGGCGGATTGACATCCCATAAGGAAACGGCGGTCGTGGGTAATGACGACGACGACGAAGACGGTACGAACCGGTGCAGAAAAAACAAACAAATACGTCGAAAGCCTCGTGTGGGATGATTTTGGAAAAATAAAGGCGCCAGTGCAATTAAACGTTAACGATGTGTATGAGTATGCGTGTGGTGTGTTTTTCTCATTATACGCAGGTCGATGATTTGTTTCGCTTCAGGAGGCCTCAAAGTGTCCTTTTCAAGCAGACACCCGAATCATTAAACAAAAACAATATTAGTCTTGTACCTGCGCGCGGGGGCTTAAATAGAAAGAGAGTGAGAGAGAACGAAAATAATAATAATTATTATTGAACAGGGCAACTCGGATCGATTATAATACCTTCAGTACAAGAATATTATACACTTATATATATATACACGTTTAACGATCGGTCGTACTTTAATATACCTCTACTCTTTAATGTTCTCGATACAATGTAGTATATCTGTTTTTGACGAATGATGTACAACTCTATACGAAACGTCGTTCTGGGTCCGCCGGTTAAATAAACAACGTTTGTTGTATGTTGTACGATTTGTAATGGTAAACAAATAACGAACAATCATGGTCCGTCTGTTTAAAATAATATTATTCATAGGTCCAATACGTTGCTGATACGTACACGTAAATGTTCTCGACGGGTGTATTGTGTGCGCACAGTTTGTCCACAGATATATGTACATGTACACATTATTTCTACGTGCGCGAACCTCGTCGTTTACCGAATTATGTGATGAGGCGTTCCCGCGTTTGGAAAAATATTGTCCGTCGGGCGATTCTTCTCCACGTTGTGTGGTGCTGCGCATCTGCAATGCCGTATAAATCACGTTAGGAAAACGGTTATTCCGTGATTCTTAAATTCTACTTCAAGCGGAGGGCGAAGACGCCGAGCATATACACAATGAAGTCCGGAACACCCTAAAAACCTTAGTACCCTTCGTGTACTACACGTTAAATAAACGTCCGTAGCCTAGGTCCTGCAAGGACGTGTACTCTGCGATTGAAGATGTAAATCGTTTTTGAACAGTAATGATATTTGTATGCGTGCAAGCATGTAAGTTCCTGCATCGACTCGAATGGCTATGATTTTATTGGACAGTTTTCGAATTTCGTAGCACGCGATTCCTGGGTTCAAAGCGTACCGTTGTCGGGCAACGTGACGGGTTTACGCCGCGGCGCTGAAGAAGTCTCCGCGAACGGTGTGCCCGGATGATGAATGATTACAAAACAATTGTAAACGACCTGCGCGCACAGAAGAAGCGCCCGCCGAACTACAAACATTGTTTTTTCCATTTCGGAACGTCGGTCATTAACCATTCGGGTGGAATATCAAGACCTGACCGCGCGCGATGACACAACGTAATTAGAAGAACGGGAATACACAGCACACGTGGTACGCCGCGGCGGCAGACGGACGGGAGAAAAATCGGATTTTTACCACTCGTCGCTGCTGCTGCACGACCGACGTATCCGTTTCTGCCCACGAAATGACCTTATATTTATTATTGTTATAATCGATTTACTCCGGTAACGAACTCTCCGCGGTCATTATATTATATACATCACCAACCAGCGATTGGATTTAAACGGTCCATCCGCTCCCTGGTCGCTGCCATTCTCTCTAATTATTAAACGCGCATCGACCGCTCTCCGCGCATCATCTCGGGGCTCGCGTTCGTAATGTATGCAACGCTGCCTCGTTGACGTGTACACGTATTTCTATAATTGTAACGGACGCGACGAGCAAGTGCCCCGTACGCCTAGTCCGTGTCCACCTGTGCGCACTCGGCGAAACCCGCGGTCGTGTCTTCGTTTGTGTACGATCTCCGCCGCCGGCCTGTACACGCGCACGCACTTACGTTGCTCACGCGTAATACATCACACGGTGCACGTACACATCCCTCGGTCGAGATTCGTGAACGTTCCCCTGTACATACACATAAACATATGTAGCTTTCGTCTCCCCGTTTCGAATAAAACTGCAGTTATTGTGCGCACCCCCGCGTTTCAACGTTTTCAAATCGAATCCGCGCCGTTGAGTCACTGCGCGACGACGCACCCTCAGACTTGGCGGCTTCGTCGGACGCACAGCGTAGCCGCGATCGCGTTACGACGTGTACTTTTCTCACGACCGATGACCATTTTGTGTTTGTTATTTACATCTTACGTATCTATATAATACACGTGTCTATTATATTCCATTATGTTCGTCTTGGACACGGGGTTTTGCGTATATCACGCGAACGTGGTAATGTAGTGGTAATAATATAACACATACGCCGCCGTTTGTAAAACGTACGATGAACTTGTTTTTCCCAAAGAAAAATGAATTGTTCGATTATTAAAAAACGCGTTGTTAAAAACGTACTCCGTGGAAAATCGTTACGATACGTGCGCATGTCCAACGCGCACACGTAAATACATAAATATTAATATGTATTAATGTATGCACGTGTATAATAATACGGCTCGTGTATACAGTATGAGCGTGTATGTGGACGGCCGCAGTATCCGCGAATTACTAACGGTTGTATGTAAATGTTCGTGTATTATGCGTGGCGGTCCTCTTCCTCCCCGTATCATGTTCTCGTTGTGTTGACTTCGTATTACTATTGACCGTGTGTGTGTGTGTGTGTGTGTGTGTGTATGTGTGTGTGTGTGTGTGTTTGTGGGGGGGGGGACTTAGGAAAGAGCCGAAACGTTATTTTTTCGTTGTTTTTCCCTTTTCGTCCTTTTCCTACTCCCCGCGTTGCTCTCCATTTGCGCGCGTACTTTATATACTGTGATATATATATCGACGAATCGTTTCGGTCTGGAAAATTAATATTGCGTTCGGTCGGGCGCGAAAAAAAATGTTTTAATAAAATACACACGCGTGGATCCGTTCGTCTATAATTCAGAAAAGTATAACTCGTTTTGACAGGTGTAACGATATGTTTTAATAATAGTAAACGGATAGATACCGCGGTGTGTGATGTATAATCGTAGAAATATCGTGCGTTGTGTATATATGGGTTTTTATTCCGCCGACGAACGCGATCATCGGCGACGGCAATCTACTACGGTTTGTTTTTACGCTGTACACACAAACACACGTTCGGCCATAACAAATGTTCTTTTTACAAATTTGTTTTTTTTTGTTTTTTAAACTACTATGTATGTCCGAAAAAACGATGTTACCATATTATCGTTATCTCGTAATGAACACGGGCGATAACTGGTTTAACCCACGCGTTGTGCGTATGTCGGGCAAAACTGTTTACATTTTAAGTTACTCATCATCGTTATGACCACGACGACGTTACACACTCGCGAGTAGACCATTTATTTTTTTGACGAACAGACGAATTTCTGTCAATAGTTGTAATCACATACGAGTCCATTATTATTTTAAGTGGATTGGTGGTCCTGCGTGACGGTTGTTGCAATGTGTACTCGCAGCTCGTTTGATAGTGAATAATTATTGTTATAAAAAAAAATAATAATAATAATAATAATATTTCGGTTGTAGATTGCACGCGTAGGACAATAGTTCGACAAAACGTCAACAATCGATCACGTTGATCGATTTCAAAAAATCCGGGAGTACGCGAAAAAAGAAAAATATATAAATCCTAAAAAAAAAACTCATTTTTTTTACCATCGATTCATTGTCGTTACAGCTATTCGCGTACTGTATACTCACACATACACATCTGCTGCTGACCTTTGAGACCAATATTCTCTCCCCTATCATTTCGTTTTAATAGGCGTTCGACGTCATGACCTTTGCCACTCCACAATGATACCTTGACAGTATTCGGTAAACCGTGACTTTTTTTTCTCTTACCCACCATTGAATGATATTATTATTGTTCGTATTGCGTTTCTTTTTTCATTTTTTTTTTTCAAATCGAATAATGTTTATTGCTTTTTATTGACGTCCCAGTGTCGCGCGATCTAAATCCGCCTAGTCATTTTGGGGACTTGATTAACGACTCGCAATGACTTCGAGGGACCGTTAGGTGTACGTATCGTATATTATTGTATATAATACGTATGGTGGTGTGCTCACGTAAATTTAAAGCTATGATATTGACCCGATATTTCATAATTCGCTCGCGAATCCCATCATCCACTACGTGTACATATACGTGTGTATATTACGTATTCGTCGTCATCGCCACACATATAATAATAATACATTTACAATATTAATAATAATAATCATAATAATAGTTATGATAATGAGAATACATCAATAATATATTACATGATATAATAAGTGTGCACACAAGAAATTCAATATAGTTTAACTAAGTGCGTCGGAAGATCACCTGAATGAATATAAATATCGAACCAACAATTTTTCACCAACACAATATTCTAACCACTGTTAAACTATATCGAATTTCGGGTTTGCCTGTAGGTACTTAATTTGTTTTTTTGTTTTTTTGTTTTTTTGTCTTTTAATCTATTTTATTTTATAACCAATTATACACTTTAGTTAAACTATGTTTGGTTTCTTGTTTGCAGGTGCATGATGTCGCACAAGCCGACTGACAGGTAGGCAACGATTTGGATCATATAATGTTTATTTGCATGCATATACACGTACAACAACACATACTTATGCACGCACGCACGACACAAGTAATCAACTACGGTAAGACGTGTTTGCGTGCTACACCAACTATAATATATACATGGGGGTGTGTAAATATACTAGTCTCTGTGCTGGCTGAGTGAAGAAGGGCTTCCGGTATTAGGTTTTTGTAGAAATATTACATAGCGATTCAACGTCTGGAGCAGAAAAATCGTTATTGAGGCTTATAATTAAAAAAAATAAAAAATCCTCACCCGAAGGGGATGGAAAGAACAGGAAAATCTGAATCCGAACAAGAGATGGAAACATTTACACATTTTTTCGTTATTAAATGTCCGCATTTGTTTCTCGTGTCGGGTTTAAATTAACTCTTCTCCTTTCTTTCTCCTCCGCAGACGAAGGCTCTTCATTATTTAATAAGGTTATAAACACAAAGAAAAATATCTTTCTTTTTTTCTCCGCTCCCTTGTTTAATTAATTACGTCTGTTCTTCCGGCATTAACTTTTTTTTATCTTAAGAATTTTATTTTTATTTTTATTTTTTTTGCTTGTCGGATCAAATCCGTAATTTATTTTTGTCAGGTCGATTTCTATATTTTTCATATGATTTATTCGAAACGCTTAATCGGATTTATCATTGGAAAGACGTTTTGACAAGCTACGTTTTTATTTTTTTTATGTTCCCTAAGCTTCTATATCTACCGGATGTTATATTCGCCATTTTCACAGTGGGTTTACTGAGTCTTTATTGCATTATCCGTAAATAAATGTCGAATAAACGCACAACGCGGCCCATCATTTTGCCGTTCGAAAATATTGTGACAATTTGACCGGAACTATTACTGCACTACCGTTTTTATGTCGGAAAAAAATATCTATATAGAATAATAATAATAATAATACGTAATACTAGTGCACTGTACGTGAAATGACCATCGGTCGTTTTGCGCGGATGGACAAATCCGAATTTTTTTCCCCGCTTGTAATTTCGCACCTCTTAACCAAACCCCCACGGCGGACGTCCAGCACAAAAAGGGACCGGCCAAAAGTTCAACAGACGGTAAATAATTGGGAATAGAAAAAAAAAACGGTAAAAAAAAAAATACATATACGTAAAAAATATATGTATACGTAACGCCGGTGATGACGACCAGGACGACAACAACGCAAATATGAGCTCTGGTCACTAGCTGCAGTAAATGTGTGTGATCCTCTTACGTTTCACGGTCCAGATGACGAAGACCGTTGGCGATTTCGCGTTCGCACATTACGCGCGAATCCTAACACGCACACCGACGGCGGCGGGTGGCTGTACGCACCGTCACGTATCGGTGTCAACACGTAAATGTGGGCGGGGGTGGGTACGGTGAAGCCTAAACAACGCACTTAAACTGTGCCGACGGCGGTGTGTAATGTGAGTGTGTGTGTGTGTGTGTGTGTGTGTATGTCCACGCAATAGGTTCGGGACACCATGAAATTCGGAATGTATCACATATATAGTACATGTGCCTACGGACGAGAGAATAAAAAAAAATGAAATAAAAACCAGATGTCTACTCGTAAACCGAAAATAATACGTGTCCTCGCACGCCTTTTCGAGCACACACAACACTGCCTATTTATATAATATGCGCTCGTACATGTGTACACTGTTGTTGTGCACGCACTAATGGCATAGGTGTGAGTGTTATTCCATTTTGTTTCGTACGTACCCTTACGAAGCCGCCGCCGCCGCGGCAGACGTCTCTTTCCCACTCTTCTTATTTTCCCCTACACCCGTTAAGCGACCGCATCTTCTTTTGACGATCGTCGTACAATTCGCGCGACACGATAATATTATAATGGATACGCGACGAGGATGTTATGAACACCTATCCGTCTGTGGACGAGTGCCGCAGGGGTATAATCCGCGGACGGCCGAGGGCAAACGCATTTGGTCGGTATATGTACGCGTGTGTAATCCTTGGGTTTACGTGGACAGGTGTGTGTTTGTGTGTGTGTGATTCCGAAGAAAACGATACGATACTTATCGTAGAGATGGTGCGTACAGAATAAAAATAAATAAATAACACTTTTGGTGTTTGTCAGTATGTATTTGGGGACAGCTGTCAGTCCGGCGGTGGTGCAGTACTACTCCTCACACGTACGCGCGAGCGCATCACGGACCAGTTGATTTCTACGAGAATCCCGAGACAGCTTACGTGCCGATAGTCCCCGTGTATTATTTTCGTTTTTTACGCTTGGAGAACTAATACGATACTTGTGTAAATGTGTACACAAAAGAGACGCCGAAGTCTGTGAAGAATTCTAAATATTTCACTTCTCAGTTTTTGTCCAAAGCCTTCGCTCATCTGCAAACTGTAACATCATTTTTTCGACGCGAACTCACACACCTACGAGTGTATATCATATCGTTGTTCATAAATTTATCATATTTTTTTTATTATTTTCTTACTGTTGCAAGTATACAGGCATGATATTATACATAGGTGTATATGATGAGGTGTGTAACTCACGCGCCGTCAGTAATTTCAAACGCCAACGAATCATAATTATATTATTTTAATATCTTATCGATACCGGACACAGACCAGATTGGCGTAGGTCGTCGTCGTTGTTATGGTTGTAGCACAATGCATCGGATTACCGACGAGGGGAAATCGTTATCGACTGCGAGTTTTAATTATGTGTTGTACCACTGACATTTATTTGTTGTCTGGAATTTTAATTAGTCGCCTTCTCATTTGCCAACACCACCTCGACCGCTGCCACCACCGTTGTCGTTTGAACGCGCTTTCTCACCGTAATATTTCCATATAAAAAACTGTATTTTTTTTCTAGCAACTGCACTGTTTATTATTATCCATTATAATCACGAGTTCGCGCATATTATAATATACGCATGCGAGACACTACTCGACATGCGTTTTTATCGAAATAACGTAAAACCTGTGTTTACAATAATGTATTCCGTGCATGTGTGTGTGTGTGTGTGTGTGTGAGAGAGAGAGAGAGATAGAAAATAATAAAATTCCTCGTCGTCCTGAAATCACGTCTCTACCACTGCCGTCGCTTGCCGTCTTCGAATTCGTCGTTTCACGGTGTGGCCCATTGTTTAACCTTTACCGGTCGATGTACATAATCGATTTTTTTTCTCCCTGCAGTCACCCGAAGTAGATTTGATCCTATTATTATTTTTTTATTTATTTATGCTTTTTATTATTATTATTATTATTATTATACATAGTAGAATGATTTTTAAAAAAAATAAAATAAAAATAAACGCAGTGTCGTCGTCGCTTGAATAGATCCGAGCCGCCGAGAGAACAAATTGACCGGCGGCGAATTTTCCCGTTGGTCCAATCATTATTGGGTTCAATTGTGTGTATATGTGTGTGTGTGTGTGTGTGTGTGTGTGGCCACAAACGATTCGATCTCCTTTATCACCTCTGTAACGTTGTTTTTTGTTTAATATATATATTTATTTTTTTTATTATTATTTATACCTCTTCCGTTTGATTCGGTCTTTCTAGAATATTTCTATTAATAGGTGTAGTAATAATAATAGTAATAAAAAAATCACCGCGACAATAATGGCCGGCGAAACGATCACGTACCCTATACGTGTCGCGCATTGTCCTCTCGTCGCCGTGTATACACGCGCACACGCACAAATGGCCTCGTTGGCGACGCGTATATTTACCTATATACTTTTTTCTCTCAATTTGTTCTGTCTGTCGCCGCCTATTATTGTTCGCTGACCAATTGTTTAACGAAATTGATGCGCTATTTGTTTTGTTGACTCTTTTTTTTTTTTTTCTACATCCACCAATATTAACTAGTGCGGTTTCCTTTCTGTTGACCCCAACGTGCACGGTCGGCGACGGTCATCGCCAGTCGCCATGTCCAAACAACTCTCTAAATATAATAAATACGTATATCGGCGCATTGCGTTCACGCTGTATATAGAACTATGTATTACTATTACACTGCAGTCTGCAGAGAAGTATTGTTCCGATACGTTCGTTTTATTATTTATTTCTCGGTGTTATAGTTTCTTCCTTTTTCTTCAACTCGCCCTACCACCCTCCCGCCACCGCTCCCGTTGAGCCCTCTTTGCGCACTAAAAGCCGGCAAAACCGAAAATTTCATTAACGTCATTTTAAGGTGAATTTATGTTGTAATTTCCGTTGGCACATATACTCTCTGGTTTTATACGCACCCGCGATCGTCGCCCCGCCAACATCGTACCTCCTACGTACCACTGCCGTCACTGCCGACACAATGGATGTGCGTCGCTGCTAATTCTTTGCAACACCCTCCGCGCGAAACGCGGCAAAAGAGATAGTTTTTCCGGACGGCGAAAGACGAGAACGTATACACACTGGCAATAATTTACACGCACACATCGCCCAGAGAATAATATTACACGGTGCAATAATTATTGTTTTCGTTAGCATAAAGGCTTTACAACGAAAACGATTCGAAGGATTAAGTTTTAATTAAAACACAACCGTTTTACCACCACCACCACCACCACCACCACTACCACAACATTTCTGCCGACAAACTTTTCGTTCTTTTCTATTGTTGTTATGACATAATATGTTTTTAAGTTGTGTATATATATACTCTGCCGCAAAGCAGTTGGAATCGTATATGCGCGTCTAAGAGGGGCTACCAAGAATTCCTTTGAGCAGCATGTATGTGTGGATATACATAAAATCGATAGCAATAACAAGACACGCAAATGAACGCGAAAACTTTATGTTTTTTTTAACGTTGTACAGAACAACATGTGATAAAAAAGAAATTGATATTGTTATACAAAAAATAAATTAGTTTTACAAGTGATGAGTGACCGTATGAAAAGTGATGGTAAAACACCAAGACGGATCCGATTGCAACAGAGGTCAGCTATCGTATATCGTTGAAATAATAATAACGAACTAGATTGATT